GGTAATCCGCACTAGCGAATTCCTAACTCCTCAGCCAGAACAAATTCCTCAAAGAACAGAAGATCTTCGTCTCTGTCACTGACGAAATTGACTAAACTGTACGAGATTTCCATTGGCTTCACTCGAAAGGATTGGGTAGGTGTACGATTTTGAGATGAGCATCACTTGGAAACTTTTCCTTAGTTTTACCTCGACCGCTTTAACAGTCCGGTGTTTCCTATGACTCGAGAAAGAGAAAATGAAACTACGAAAACAAAAGTCTTCACGCTTCATAATCCTCGCATGAATATCAAGTCTTCAAGGTCACACCAATTTCCTCACTTTCAAAGTCTTCAAGAAAACCAAAGTCTTCAACTGAAGACATTCATTTTTAGGGACCGTCTTTCATCGTGAATATCAAACTCCTCGTAGACTTATAGACCTGAGTACACTAACAAACACATTAGTCTCTTAACCTATAAGTCTTCAATACACCAAAATCACTAAGGGTCACTAGATGAATTGTCCCCATTGGCAAACATATGCCCAGCCCAACCATCTCTAGTTTGTGACCAAGTTCTATTATCATGTTCTATTCAATCACACCATCCGACACTGGATTCCCAGTCCAAGAGTGCACAGGTGGTACGAACTCATCCTCTCCCCACTGAAGTATCCAATTATGAAGAATGCAGCAAGCTGGGACGATTTTGACTTGTGGTGGGTAAGGGTGGTGAGGCAATAGCAGCCGGTACATTGGCAAGAACATGGGTGCCATCAATTGCACCAACACAGTCCTAAGAAAAGAGGTGAGGTATATTTTGTAAAATATGGGTTATTCGGCATGTCCACATAATTCTAAATGTTGATATATTACCTTAAAGTAGGGATAGAAGCGCCTACTATGTAGAATTTTTGGATGAACTTCATTGGATGGGAGTTGGGTCATCTCATCACACAACTCCCCAATTGCATATAAAACTGCCTTGAAGTATTGACTGATTACTTCAATTGACCTCCTAAATATGGATTTCATTGCCCTAAACCTATGGTTGTGCCCAACTACAAGAAGGAACATCGCAAGCTGCTCCTCAATGCAATATGAATGTTGTCTTCCAACAATTTTCGATCACGAAACAAGTTATACAAGGTATAAAATGGGGCCCTGTTCATCCTTAATAGGTCATGACAATTTATGTCATTGGTTTCATATAAAACATAGATTGGACAACCTAGCTACGTCTCTCTCAAGCATAACGTAACGGACTGGAGCATGATAGTTTCTAATCCTAGCCCTTGTAGTTATCGTGGCCATATAGGCACACAAAATAGCAACCAAACCAGCAGCTTGCACTATCAGAGTATCTTGGGTCTTGCCATTGTCATCCATCTATATAAATTCAGCACAGATTTATAAATTAATAAAGGCATGGGCACTGATAATATTGACATCGTTTGTATCATCAAAACAAAATATATATGCACAAATTATTCATACTATTTGTACCATTTGCATAAATATTTTGTCTACCTACTGATTTCTTAATTTCCATAAGCTAGCAAAGTGTTCTGGACATATCACACATATCCATGCTAATGACCAACCTTACGTAATATAAAAACCACCCAGCCATAATCCATAGGAGAAAAAGGAGGTTGGTGACATATCTGAACCTACATAAAAAAGGAGGGGAGGCTATGGGAAAAGAACACATTGGTGCTAGCCACACCCAGCTGGAAGAGAAGACCCTCTTTCCTGTCCCCGACCAGAGGCCGCCGCTTCATGCATCCGCATCGAAGAACAGGCACCACAAGTGGAGCGCGAGCGGCAGAGAGATGGGGATGGGGGGGGGAGGGAGAAGAGAGGGATGGGGGCGGATGGGAGACAGGGAGAGGGAGGGGAGGAGGCGCCGCAGCGGCGAGGATGGCTGCCGGCGATGTCGACAGAGGTGACGGGGCTGCGAGATCCACCGTTGTCGCGGGAGGGTTGCGAGGAGAGCGGCGTGAATGAGTCGGGTCTAAGCTGCAAGGAGAGAAACCCTGTCCCCTTGCTCGCGTGGGTGCAGGCACGCGTGCGGCGGCGGGTGCTGGCTCGCGGAAACGCCCGAAACCTGCGTTTCGAGCGAGCCTCGCTGGGGGGGCTCTTTTTGCATGCGTTGGGCCTGGCTCAATTAGACGTGCAGGCTACCAAGCATCGAGAATAATGCACGGTGGGTGCGAGCCAGATGCGGAGCAAGGAACCAAACACACCCCTGGTGTGCCACATCCTAATCCATGAGAGCCGCCTCTCCTCCCATGCGGGCTGATGCTAGATCAGCCCCTGAAGAGGCCCCCGCTGGGAAATGCAGTTGAACGGCATCTGACGAGAACAGGAAACATGACTATAGGAACAGCTAGGCGAGAACAGGAAACATGACTATAGGAAGAGGCAGAAGCAAGAAAAGAGGGGCCAAATGACGGCGTCACTTACATTTTATCTGCCTGCCACCGTATCAGTCGGCGGCAGCGCCTCCCGCCGCCTCGCCGACCACCATCGATCAGCACCGTATTGCACCGCACTGTCATATTCATGCTGGTACTTAAGAACAATGACTCTGAGAGCACATATTTTGATCATTCCAGCAATAGTATGAGAAGGAAATTATCCTTCAGAAGAACCCACTACTAAGAATAGAAGTATATTGGTGTCACACGCATGCAAAAAAAAAACTCAGTGTGACTGATTATGTTAGAATAAGTGAATAACCACAGTTCATTTTCATATTCCCAGCATGTAGTAATGAAATCTTGTAGCTATTACTATGACAGATGGTTTCAGTTCAGCTGCCAAAAGGTCCAGAAGTTTTTCCAAAATAACCACTGATATAATACATTGTGATAAACAAAGCAAAATACATGTATTATTGAAGCTCCTAAGAACTCCAGCGTCATCTCAATCAACCATGGAAAATCTTGGATATGTTTACAGGTGAACATACAACATTTTTATTAACAGATACGTCACAACTAAGGAATTGTAGCCAACCTTTCTAGTTTCTAATCAGTGGGGCTTACTGGACAGAAAGAGAATAGTATGATTCCCAGTTTTATCAGAAAAGAAGTAGAAGATCAATATGTGTATTACAACAGGATAAAACATGCATTTAGTATGACAGTGACTGAGGAAAATAGTTGGCTGCTTACATTACATTAAGTTCCAGTGAACCTCCACAGGGAAGCTTATAACAAACATAGATATCACTTTGGCATTCCACACCCTTTTCATTTCCAATTCCATTTAATAAATCTCCTTGTGAATGTTTTAACCGTGAAATTGACTCTGTTTGACAGTCCATCGGATTAAAGCCTCACAATGTCTTTTTGGATATTTTGTTGATAACACCTTCTGCAGTTCATTAGAAGTTTCCTCTGTGTAAATTAACCAGGAAAACACCAAGTTAATATATTATTGATATAAAACGAACTACAGAATGTTACCCTCTAAAAGGTGCAGAGCTTTACCAAATTAGCAAGCATTGTCTTGAAAATTTTACTACAGACCTACGTAGACAAAAGAGTGTCAACAGATCACATTGTATCGCAACCCCAGTAGCCTAAATCCTGGACAAATAAGCCTAAATTTACATTTACCAGTGAAGTGGATAAAAATTGCAGCAATCAAACACAGATATTTAATATGAGGTCTTCGTAAATATGTTTCTGAATACCACAGAAACCTTCTGTTGCCTTGGGGCATGGAGACGTTTTAAGTTATTTCTGAATATTTAATCAAACGATATATATAGTAGCATAATAAGGAGAGCATATGGCATTATTACTCGTGAAAACAGGAAAGAGAATTTGCCATTAAAACTATGGCAACCTACAATTTTTCATAAATCAAAACTGGTTCTGAAATTCCAACTATGATGACATATACATCAACAGGTGTAAAATTAGCATTTTAATGTACACTAGCAAACAGCTAGCTCTATTAAATCACCAATAGGCAAAGATTACTACCATGACAATGTAGCTACACGATGTTGAGCTACTTCAACTACATTGGCGAGGCCGGCCTGTAAAGCTTCAGGAATCTGTAAAAAAACTAATAGTGAAAACTTCAAGAGTTATGATATTTATCTTAGCTGATAGGAATAAACACAATAACAATATGCAAGAGCACAATGCATTCGGTGCAGCATTTTATGTCTATAATATACATGATGATAAATCGAGCACCATATGTTATAAGAACTGAAGCCTCTAGCACAAGTTGAACTTGTAGATTGCAGGAACTATGAGAAGCAGATGGAACTGCAAATAGTATATAAGTATTTTTTAAACATAAGTAAAAAAGAATGAAGCTTTGAATTATTTACAAACAGTGTTTCTCCTTTGCCTGAATCAGTTAGGACATGACTGGTAACCATCATATATCGTTACCAACCAAACATGCATATAGCAAAGCATTGAGCAATGCTAAGAATAATAAAATTACTACTCCTTTCCCGCAAAAAACACCCCAGTGCTGCTAAGTGATGAACACATGATAACCAATCACAGAGATCAAATTCTCTGCACTAAGGTGCACATCAAACAAAAAGGATTTATATTAAAGCAAGATCAAGCACCCTTTGCCAAACTCCATTGCATATCTCCATGGGTTGCTGCTCCAAACCCTATCAGCACCGAAATCATCCATGGTTTGCTGCTTCCGCAGAAGAAATAGCTTCCGGAGGGGTGAAAGGAAGGAGAAAGAGCAAAGGGATAGAGAAATAGTGGAAGAGAAGGAAAGAGATGGAGCTGGCTGGTTACATGCATCATCGTCAATCGTGGTTTCATTCAATAGAGATCCCTGCCCGAGGTTGGTGGCGGCAGATCAAAATAGAGAAGACGATTGAGATTCAACCGTGCTAGATCCCATCGAAAGACTTGAACATCAAGAGAGGGAGGGAGGAAGGGGGGGCGGGGAGCAACGATCTGAGTATACCTACGAATCAGCGAGCTGCTGCTTCCTGCCGTCAAGCTGCTCATGCTTCCTACCGGCATCCTCTCCCATTTCTGCGCCCCGCGCGGCAAGGGATTTTGACGCGTTCCATGCCAGGCCACCACCCCCTGCTTCCTCCTCGCACTCTAGGGCGTGAGTTGGGAGCTCCTCTGCCACAGTAATACACACCCTGACTAATCTGTACATAACAAAATAATATGCACATAATCTATGTGTAAATCATCGAGTTTACAGCATTATCGTGAACCCACCTAGTGTTCAGCACTCGCCAAACTGTCATCACAATTCTTGCAGGTATAATGGTGAGCAAAGACAGAAAGGAATCCAAAGCAGACAAAGAATCCTGCTACAATTAGCTGCAGCATTGATCACAATCAAACATCTCCCCGTTATTACAGAATATGCTACATCTAGAGTTACTAAACTGAATCATTTGGTTATCTTCTGAATGTGGTAATCAAATTCATCCTTTTGAAGGAAAGTTCAAAAGAATTGTCTAATGCATTATTTTTGTTAATTCATTAAGCGCTGCCAAAAACATACCATTTGTATCTATCCATATCTTAATAAGGATCTGAATGTAATCATATTCATTTCTGTAGAAATATGTGGTGATAACATGGTTCCAGAAATAATATTACAATAACTAATGCGTATTGGATTCATCTCCAGCAATGCTGGCAAACTATTCCAAATAATTTAGAATGGCCTAAAGTTCAAAATAAATAGGATGGCCCTAACTCTCCAAATAATTAGGATGGCCCTAAAATTCCAACAAATATATCTAATATATAGGGTACAAGAAGGGAACATATTTGCAAGTGAAATATATACCCATTCACATCTCCAAGGCACATGAAACATAGTGTTGTAGACCCGCTGTCGCTTCTTGTCATTACCCACTGCAATTGTACTCCTAAGTGAATTGCCGCTATACATTTCTCCAACGAAGTATCTGAAAGGTGAATTGTCACGGCGCTCGACTTTTGCAGTATATCATAGTTGAAAAGAGGTGTAAACGCATACATTGGACTAATTCAGTGTGCGATAGGAAATCTGACTAAAAGTTGTTCCCATCTATGGCCACTACAAAGCAACAATGGTTAGGAGCTGGGCAGTTAAAAAGAAATGCAAATCCAGAGACTGGTAATGATATCTTTTAAAGGTTTTCATAAAAAAAACATGAACAGAGTACCTCGCTGGTTTAAATTATTTGGTTCAACTTTCTGAGTTACTATTTTCATTTTTCATGAGCTTGTAGAGAATCAGTGCATCCTTATTTTCTTACTTAGAAAATGCAGGTTATGATATGATTATCTGCAGCTTTTCTGATAAATTTTTATATACCCCAACTAAAACCATGATGCCAGTGTTCTTTCTAAACTACAATACACTTTATTTCTCATGATCCTCCAAATTTAGCAGGACGCACAAAACCCATAAGGGAACCACTTCAGTGTAACACAAGATTAATTCCTAATTTCTACTTCCGACTGTTTCGTTTATGTCACAATGTTCATAGACTGCGTAGCTGGTATGAAATTCACAAATGCCGCACTCTACAGAATTTCAGTTCAATGCGAATGTTCTTACCAACAGCAATGAAACATCACACCATGAAAGAGGTGTGCAAAAAACTAAAATATGTACTGAAATCCAAATGAACAGAAATCTATACCTCCGAGAATGTTGCTGTTCTCCTTGATGTACTTGTCCCAGCCCAGCGACTCATCCTTCTGCAGTTTCTTCATCGTTCAACTCAGGCCGCCGGGCCGAACCCGCACCGTGGCGTCAGCCGCAGCGCTTTCACGCGAGCTGTTTCCGCAGCTGCTGACCGTGTCCTCCACAATCGACACCACCCTCCCATTCCTGGCCACGCTCCTCTGCCTCAATTCCATGCCGACGTACGCCACGCAGCTCGCCACGGACCTCTCCGTGTCCGACATCTGGCAGGCCTTCTCCGCCACAGGCCTCAGATCCGTTGCCCTGAGCACGGCGGGCGCATGGACGTCCACACGCGGCTCCTCCTCCACAATCGAGGGGCTCCAGAACCTCTGCTTGCGCTTGCAGTGTTGCGGCGGCGCTAGGTCTCGGGAGGAAGTGAAGGGATGTGTTGTCATCGGCGGCGGTGGTGAGGCCGCTGGAGAGGAGCTCGAACAAGAGTTGCAGCCGCCGGATCGGAATGACATGGCCGGCGGAGGCGGAGGCGGGAGAGCTCCCTCGCGAACCCTAGGCGTGGGCGGGGCCTCGTGGTCATCGCAAGTAGAGGCTTGAGAGGTGGAGCTCAGGCAGAAGATGGAGAGGGTGGCGACGGCAGCGGCAGTAAGCTTAGATGGGAGGAAAAGGGAAAAGAACGCTGCGTACGAAGGGAGTTGCGTGCTCGTTTTTTTCTTTCTCGTCCTGTACAGTAAAATCAGCACAATATTTGGACAGGTGGATAGCGCGAGTGAGCGCCCTTGCCTAGCGCCTTATTGTGTTTGATCATGTGATGATACAATAACAATCAGTTGTCAGTATTTCAGACAGTCCCTCTATCTATAGCCATCACTAATATTGTGACAACAATAAGTCTATAACAGTTACTTGGATGTTTTTTTAGCGAGAATTAAAAAAAAAAACAGGAAAATTGCATTTTGCTGACAAAATGTGCAGCACAAAGCACATAATTTAGCCATGCAGAGAATGTACAACAATTGAGCTTAGTGAGAAAAGATCTCTATCAAAGCAATAACAACACGATGATAAATAAATAAAATATTAAAATTAATCTGCCACTACCACCTCTCCTTTCCCTAGTAGTGAAGATGCAGAGTATAGCCAGCCATCACCTCCATGGTCCAGATTATTTATGCCTAGCGAAAGGACAACATGTAGCGAAGCTAAACCAATTTGATCAAACAAAAAGGAAGAAAAAACATGCACAAGTATCTAGATAGAGAATTGATAACTCCTAAATTTGCCTCAATATGTTTTGGTCTAAATGTGAAACTAAGAAATTGTTAAATTTGCCTTGGTGAAAATACTACTAATTTGGTACAGTATGGAATTAAGTTAACAAGATCTCAAGCACAAATGCATATTCCGTGAAGAGTACAAAATAACAAAAGGATGTGACCAGTGATACTATTCACAGATAACTTTGCATTGTTTATTTATGAAAACAAATCTGAAGTTGCCTGAACCAGAAGTTGATTGGAGGTGCATCACAAAGGATAACTGCATCGCATTAGTTGCCAAAATAATGGCCCTCACTAATAAGAAAGTGCCACTCTTTTTCAGCATTTGTCAAGAAAACTATATGCAAATAAGACCCGGACAACTGATCCAGATGTGTGAATTTTTGAATGGCAATATTTCATACATCTGATAACGGAAGGTCAATAAACCCAGTGTACTGATTTTGGATTGTGGACAGTTTCACTTCCATAACACAAAAATATTTTGCTGGCGAGTTAGATTAAGGCTGTGTGGTGGATCATCAGCAAAAGCCATGTTTTTAAGGCGACGCTTAGGCGTCACTTAGGCGGTGAGGCGGACTGACAGCACCCTAGCATTTAGTCTGCCTTACGACTTATGCACTTGGGCGGTAAGGCCGGCGTTGATCACCTTATGACGCCTTACCGCCTTAAAAACCTTGAGCAGAAATAAAAAGAGCCAAAAATGCATCCACTGCAATAGAATCGAGGTAGTATTGCAGTTCAGACTTACCCCCTGGCGCCACTTTCTCTTCACTTTCCAATTATTCTGATTCTTAAACTGGTAAAGAATCGTTCCTTTGTTCCTGTAGGCAGAGGTGGTGAACCAATTAACTCAGCAAGTAGCACAAAAGGCTCTGATTAAGGAACAGCAAAATCAGGCAGAATAATTAGCTCACCAAGAAGCACGATGGCAACAGGTGAAGATATGATAAATGAGGCTATAGGGCCTCGATAAATGACAGTTCGCAATACGTCCATCCGCTGCCTGTAACCATGTGTCACTATTGAGGTGGCGTTCTGCCAAATACAGTTCCGTGGGATGAACAGTTACAATGGAGTCACCCACAATGTTAGGCAGAACCTTAGAGCTGACACTCAGAATCCTTTCATCAATAAACAGAACATTGTCTCCAATACTAGTTACCGGGACAGCCCGTTAAGGATAAGGTCAGACAGTCTGTAAACCAAAGGGTGCGTAAAAAATCCGTCGCTATACCCAATCACCAGGACCTCTGAGCCACATTCTGCCAGGTATTGAGGGGCAGGCATTTTGCCAGCCCAGCATGTAGCAATCAACTTCTTTGATGGCATCGAAGACGAACCTGAACCCATCTCTTCATGCTGGGGTGGATTGATCTGGAAGATCTGAGTGTCTCCAGAACCACTAGTGTAAAATGTGGAAGTATCCATCATGTATAGCTTGCCTTGGGATGATATTAGACTCCCAATTGGTGGGAGCACCCAGCTTGCAACATTCCATTGATGGTCCCTGGTGGTAGCAAAGGCTAAAATCGATAGCTTATAAACTACAATCATGACAGTGATGACTCCAGCTGCACTAACACTGACAGACGTGGCACCGATGTTTCTAAGATACGTCCAGACCATTTCAACATTTTTCTTGGCTCCAGGAAGACGCATGAGGGTCGCAAGTGGCGGCAGCTCTGCAATGTCTCCAGTGAATGGGTGGAGGAGGCGGATGGCGGTGTCTTCGTCCCGTTGCAAGAGGAGGAGACCATCGACCGAGTCGAGGATGCAGTGATCTCTGAAAAGCGGGAGCAGGCAACGGACGATGGCGCCAGTGGAGAGGTTGATAAAGCGGATGTACCCATGTAGCCTGCCGTGGCCAGGATACAGGCCGTGGCCCTCGGGCAGCATCATCCACCGGCGCGGGTGAAAGCGCGGGTCGACAACACCACGGCCGCGTGGGCAGACGGAGCTAGACCGCCAGTGGGGGCAAACGGCGCGGAAGCGGACATAGTCCCTCAAGTCGCTCGCCAACACCCTCCACCCGATCAGGCGAACTAAATCTGCCTGAAGAGACGCCCACGAAGATGGATATGAGATGGCGGCGGCAGCTATGAGTCGAGGGCGCTTGCTGCTGCACGCAGTCAGGCCCGAGGGGAGCTTGATGCTGCACGCAGTCACGGCCGAACGGCGCTTTGGGTACATCGACGACGACATGCCACCCGGCCAAATATCAATCTTGCTGGGGAAAAGAAAGATTGAAGTGAAATAGGTATAACCACAGTTGAAAGAAGGAAAATAAAAAGCTTCGGCAATCAACAGACAAAACAGCGTACCAGCGATCTCCAGAAGCGATAAGGCGGTGTGAATCGCCGAAGATCCAGCAGAGCCGGTGGAGGAAGGGGGAATGGAAGTGGAGAGGGGGCCATGAACAAGTTCGCAGTTATATATATTTTTTAGAACAATTCGCTCTTAGGGCAACGCAATGCGCCCGCATACAAAAAGGTCCGCGAAAAGTCCACGAAGATGTATTCCTTCCTGCGCAGTTTCCGAGCGGAGCTCCTACTTTGCCGCCCGCGGGCGGCAAATGGTTTTTTTTAACAATCGCATGTAACTTTGTTGATACTCATCTCTATTCCTAACGAAACAGGTTGGTAGTCTTGCTTTCAGGTTTTTTTATCTCACCTTTCATAGTTTTTTTTACCTCCTCTCATTTTCGTTGGGTTTTTTCATTAAAAAAGTGTGTCTCCTCCTTTCATTTTATTGGTTTATTTTCATATCACCCTCTCACACAATAAAAAAAATCTGAACATATCAGAACTTTTCGTACTGCTGCAAATTATTTAGTAATATAGAATCAATCACGAATAATTTCTAAAGATGAAATCTAAATTAATTGACCTTATCTTAAATCACTCAATCACATTAATCTCTATTCGTAATGGAGCAGTTGATAGTCTCGCTTTCAGGGTTTTTTTCATCACACCTTCCATGATTTTTCTTGTACCTCCTCCCACCTTAGCTGGGTTTTTTTCGTAGATATTTTTTCGTCCCCTTCCCCCACTTCATCGGTTTATTTTTGCGTCACCCTCTTACACAACGAAAGAAATCTGAATAGATCAGAACTTTTCATACTGACGGAAGTTATCTCTATTCCTAATGAAGCAGTTGGTAGTCTCGCTTCTAAGTTTTTTTTCGTCCCACCTCCCATGTTTTTTTGGTACCTCCTCCCATCTTCGCTGGTTTTTTTCGTCCCCTCGCCCCACTTCATCGGTTTATTTTCGCGTCACCCTTTCACACAAAGAAAGAAATCTGAACAGATCAGAACTTTTCATACTGGCGCAAGTTATTTAGTAATATAGAATCAATCATGAACAATCTCTAAAGATCAAATCTAAATTAATTAACCTTATCTTAAATCACTCAATCACATTAATCTCTACTCTAATGGAGCAGTTGGTAGTCTCGCTTTCAGGGTTTTTTCTTTCCACCTCCCATGGTTTTTTTATACCTCCTCCCACCTTAGCTGGGTTTTTTTCGTAGATTTTTTTTCATCCCCTCCCCCCACTTCATCGGTTTACTTTTGCGTCGCTCTCTCACACAACGAAAGAAATCTGAACAGATCAGAACTTTCCATACTGACGCAAGTTATTTAGTAATATAGAATCAATCACGAACAATCTCTAAAGATCAAATCTAAATTAATTAATCTTATCTTAAATCACTCAATCACATTAATTAGAAAACAAATAATTGATTTTCAGAAAAATCGCTCAATCACATTAAGCTTATCTTAACTCACGGATGGTAATCAATCTCCAAACAAAGAAAACAATACATCGAGGGAGCAGTAAATAAACTCCCTTTCTTATGGCATGTATATGATCTTCCCTTCCCTCTCCGTTGTTGAGCGTTCTTGATTCTCGAGGCCGATGCTTGGGCTGCGTCACTGGGTTGCGACGGTGCCGGAGGACGAGAACGGCGAGGCCGGGTGCCGCGACACCGTGTTGGCCACGGCCGGTGAAGGGGCGAAGAAGGGCGGCTTCCCTGGCCCTGGCCCTGGTCGTGGCCCTAGGAGTTGGTGCGGTGGAAGCGACACTTGAAGAACCCGGCGTGGGTGGCCGATGCGCAGACGCACTTGGAAGCGAGCCAATGGCCCGCGCCGGACGGCGCCGACGCCGACCCGGGCCACCTCCTCTGCGTATTCTTGGAGCTGTGGCTGGCCGATTTACATGAAATTAATTCCCTCAGTTGTGGTGGCAAATATAATACACATAATCCATATTGTTATGCATTAGCGTGTGTGTGTGAAATAGATGGATTATGGTCCCGTACCCAATAAGATGGATATGTATGTGTGTGTTAGAGAAGAAGTGAGTGGGAAAGGGGGAGAGAGAGTGAGGAAGAGGGAGGGAGAGAGTGTGTGTGTGTGAGGATTTGATGGTAAAAAAGGTCGTCAATGTCACTTGATATGTATGAGTGTGACGCCCGGATATTTAAGCTACAGTAACCCCCTCGTAATGATGCCACGTCACCTCAGTTACTGTTGAAAAATCTCGCGTTAGTTCAAAACGATTCGAATTCAAATTTGAATTAAAGGTCGACAATAAAAGCTTTTTTCAAAATTTAAAACAAAAATGTTCGAGGTGTGCAAATAAATGCCTAAGAATTTATGATATGGGATCCATGCTTTTATAAGAGACCTAAATACTTAAAATGAATTAAAAATGTAAAGAAACTAAATAAAGAAAAGAAAATACAAAAACAGAAAACAAGTTAATAAAAAAATTAATAATAGAAAAGAACCCCCCCCCCGGGCCATCTGGCCCAGCTGTTAGCCAGGCCGGCCCAACTGGCCCAACCGGTCCCCCCCAATCCCCTTAATCCCCCACCCGG